CAGGATCTACACAAGCGGAAGCTTGGGCGAGGATTTTTTAACAGTCTTTTCCACAAAGTAAGTCCGAAGGTTCCCGCAAGGGAGAGCGTCGAGGGAAACGAACTGGACATGTTCGACCGAAACGGTAGACCACAAGTAATTTGATGTGTCGCCCGAAGTGTGCCCGATGTGGGAAGATGGGGCTGTAGGCTCGGGACTGTACGAACGAGCCAGACGAACGAGGACGCAAACGGCAAGCAGGCATCGGCGGAGGATCTACCAATAATCTCTCCAGCTGGACCCCATCTGTTGCCTTGACAAAGAATTGCGGTGCTCTCGCGGTGCATCGGATTGCCTGTGACGTGCCCTTGCTACCCCCTCGCGGAGATGCTCGGGCAGCTCGGCATGGTTCTTGGCCTTCCAGGTGGCGGCGAGACCTGGAAGACATTCGACGGCAATCAATCGAGGGTGTAAGGGGTAGGGGCAGGCAGCCACACTGTGGTAAACGTCATCGGTTTTCCCGATGATGACTGGCAGAGAAAACAGAGCACCAGGCACGTCTCCCCGAAGACCCAGGGATATTACCAGGTCGCTACGATTGTCGAGTAGTGCATGCTGAGGTCATTGGACTGAGGCGGGGTGGCGTTTCGGCTGCAAGAGAGGTAGGAGCTGTGAGGTAGGAGTTGTGATTGTAATGCCGATGTCAGCCTCCTCCTCCTGCGCCTCTCTACCCTCTCCCTTGTGTGCCGCCGTTGTGGCTCACGAGGACCCTTGAGTCACCTGGCGCGCAGGCGACGGGCGCGCCCTGGCCCCCGTAAAAGGAAAGCTCCCGTGCACTCGATGCGGCTTATGATTAGGATGATGGTGAGGATGATGATCAGGATGCTGCTGCTGATGCTGCTGATTGTGATGGTGATGGTGATGATGACGGTGATGATGATGAACATGATGACGGTGGTGGTGGTGATGGTGATGGTGCTGGTGATGGTGATGCCGTTGATGAGGGCGATGGCGATGCTGATACTGATACTGGTAATGTTGATGATGATGGTGGTGCTGATGATGGTGGTGGTGATGATGATGATGGTGATGATGATGATCATGATGATGATGATGATGATGGTGGTGATGATGATGATGATGATGATGATGATGATGATGATGATGATGATGATGATGATGATGATGATGCTGATGATGATGATGAGGGATCATAATTGAGGATGGTGGAGGCAGGAGGAAGCTAGCTTTTGATGGACCACGACGGGCCATCAACTGTCCATCAAAAGCGCTGCCAGTAACCATTCAACTGAACCAGGCCCTACCCGAAGGATGAGAGAGGGGGAAGAGGGAAAAGGGGAGGGGAGAAAAGGAGAGAGGACGCTACCCTGGCTTTCCCAGGGTCAAAGGGGAATTGCATACGAGTTCTTCGATTGGGCCCCTCAATCACTCCATCCCCCTCCCACTGTCCGGGAACATGCCCGCAAAGCAGCTCTAGCCGACCCCTGAACGCCACCCCGCGGGTTCGGTCATTCTTGAAACGCCTGTGCCCGAGCCTCGGCGATCCCCTGGCGCGGCCGGCAGGCGAACCTAACTTCGACATCATGCTGGAGCTCCTGACCGCCCACAACGAGACGGACAGGTGGGAGAAGGCGCCTTCTCCTACTTCGCCTTCTTCCTCCTCCCTCCTCCCTCCCCCCTCCTCCGACCTATCGGCTGCAACGCCTGGTCTCGCGACTTTTCCTGCTGCTCTCATGGAGGAGGGGGTGGTGGACTCTGGTTCGGGTTCTGACTGATCGGCTCACTTCTTTCTTCAGTCTGTGTTCGTCAGTCCCTCTGTCTCGTGTTGGTTGCAGTGGTCTGCCTGGCCTTGTAACCCATTCTCCGCGGTCACCTTGTTCCTATCGTGTCACGAGGTGTCCGTGGGGTTGGGGACTCAAGTGGTGAGGGTACGATGGGCGCGTTCGTTACGGAATGTGCCCAGTTAGGCTGTAGACCCTGGGGGATTTCTTATCCATTGGGGGCGGCGGTGACCCCCTTGGCCGATCCACGATGGGAGCTCCAGTGGCTTCCAGACCCTGAATTCCTTATGTAAGGGTTCCTTGTCCACTGCCCCCACCGCAGTGGATTCTCCACCACCCGGCTCTTCAGGCGTTGGCGGTTCGGGGACGAGCCGCCCGCCCCTCTGCCCACTCTGGTGCTCCTCGCGGCTCGTCAGCAGCATTCTCCCAGCAGCCCAACCCCTCTGTCCAGCCTTTGCGCTGCCTGGCCGCTGGAGGAGGAGGAGGAGAAGGATGAGGAGGAGGAGGAGGAGGAGGAGGAGGAGGAGGAGGAGGAGGAGGAGGAGGAGGAGGAGCAGGGGCGGAGGAGGAGGAGGAGGAGGAGGAGGAGGAGGAGGAGGAGGAGGAGGACGAGGAGGACGAGGGCAGGAACCGCCCCGCACCCGCAGCAAGAGCTGGAAGCCCTCTGCAAGAGGATACCCGAGGCCGAGAAGTACAAGGACCTCCTCGGGCAGCCGAAG